CAGTAAATATAAGCATATATTGTTTATTGTTTTTTTTCTTATCATCTCTTGTATTTAATTGATTATCTATAATCAAAGGTGTTAAAAAAGATGAAAAAATACATTAAACACTGTTTTCCATCTAATTTATGGCTGGCTTGGACTTCCATACACTGTATCTGTGTCATGATTGATGACAACTTTGTCTAGCAGAGTAAACGTTAACATGTTTATTCTTAGTCTGGATACGATAAAAAAAGAAACAATCACAACAAGAAACATATATTGACGCAAGCGTCAAAAATCGGCTGCAAACCAATTGATTGTTCCTTTGGTAAAGTAATAAAAAACTGAAATTTGCGTGATCTGTTTATAAAATTTCTTACATTTATCTGTTAAATATCCCCGTGACATGAAACACTTGCACGCGACATTGCCGATTTTCTGTATGCATAATACATGTACAATGTACAAGTAAAAGTATAAGTAAACTGTCCATAGACCTCTGCGTCTTTCACTCAGTTTGGTACTTGTAAACGAACTCTGGTAGAAGTTTGATGTTGGAGTAGTTTTTACATAAAAGTACAAAACTAAAGTTTAAACTTAGCTATTGTTTTACTTTTAATTAATAAAACGCAATAAATATAAAATATGTTGGGATCCTCGCTCTCTCTAAGAGGATATTAATAACCCCCACCCTGCTCCCTCTAGATCCACCACTACATTTCTTCTCTATTTCGGTGTTGAGTTGTGGCGGGAAAATGCTTGGCACATTGTAAAACGCGCTTTATTCTAGTCTCCTGGACCAAAATGTTGTAAGATTCTGTGCTTTTAAAAAATCAATATTTCATCAACTTGAAAATTTTCCATAGGAAATGTATAAATATGCACGTCATTTTAAAATAATTACACCAAATCCTGTTTAGGCTGTTTAAAAAGAGAAAGTAAAATTAATATTGATATACAACGCGGTCTTTGTTTTAGACTATGCCTACATATAAATCCGCCGCACTTCAGTCATGTCAGAGTTTGTCAATCAGGATTGGATGAAATATTTACTCCCCATTATTTATAAAATTTGATTATATGATTATTGTGCTTTATGTTAAACATTTAAAATATCTTTGTTGAATATTCTATAATATAAATGTTAAATATTTTTATTTAAATTGTTCTAACTCCGCAGAAACGCACGGCGACTTCAAACTTTCATATCAACTAACCCACCGCCGCCTGGCAGCCGGTAATAATCCACCCAATGGAAAAGGATTGAACCTAATAAGGTATTTATCTGTAAAAGAGAAAAAGAGAGAATCTATGACGAAATTTTTCGTCATTTTCTAAAATTAGAAGGTGGAAATACCCTAAAACTATAAACAAACCTTGACATGTCACTGCTGAGTTTGCTATTTCAAATATCAAGAAAAAGAAAACCGGTGCTAAGCATTCTTCCACAGGTAAGTAATTTTGAGAAATAATAAATATATAACCAATTACCGATATTTCTCCAGGGAAAACATAGAAAACAATGATTAATGAGAATGGCGATGAAACACTGTATTTTAATTGATCTTCTTTATGATATAAATTAAATCACTGCAAAAAAAAATAGGATCAAAGAATTGTATACTTGACTAGTACATTTTTGAAACTATCATTGATCTTAATATGATATGAATGAGTAGAAAATTAACATACTTTGTTTACTTTGGTTTTGAAAGAGAAAATGAAAGTGTGTGCATGTTTCTTCGGAATAGCATGTAGCTATGGAACATGATTTTTAAAAGCACTTCTCAGATTAAAAAGCAATGCTTTATATTTAAGAGCATTCAAAACCGTTTCCAAAACAGTTTCGTTTTTCGAAATTGGTTGAAAAATAAAAAAGTTATGATATTTTTTTTGTTGTCATCTTTTCACATTTTGAAATAAAAAGTGTTGCCGTTTTTTAGAAAATTAAAGGGACAAAATCTACTAAGCTGCAATTCTTCATTTATTGTAAAGTACTTTACAATAATTGTATAAACAAAAAGATATGTATTTAAATATTGTTTTCTAGCATATATGATATATTATTAACAAGAAAATCAAATACTTTATGGTTGCCAGAAATTTGAAGTTCGAAGTGTCTGTTAACATTTTGAATTTTCATCTTCTTTTTCATTCTTTGCAAGATAGAAACTTAATATCATGATCAGAAATACTGTAACTGCATGATTATAGTCACATTCAAGAAGTTAAATGACTGAAATCTAGATCATATAATGTCTTATTAACCTACTTATACAATACATATATTGTTTTTCTCAGTCAGATGTGATGTACAAAGTTCTGTTTGATTGTATTGAAATTTCTAAATTTTATTTGAAGTATTGTTGAGTGATTTCTTATTTTTATGAAGTAAAACAAATTGATATGTAGTTTCATTTGGATCAACTAATGGCTTCAAAAAGGTGGGGGGTGGGTGGGGTTAATAATATTATAAATATAATAATCAAGTAAAAGTTATCATTTCTTGAGTGTATTTTTGTATTTAGAAAACAATCTTCAATTTTAAATACAATATGAAAAGTGAAAAGCTGACACTGTTATTTGCTGAATAACCCCCCCCCCCCAGGTATGACCCTCATCATTGTTATGTCACCCCTACAATGTAAAAATAAACTAAATTGTTGAAAGCAAGATATTCACAAAGTGTTGTGACCATTTTGCACCTTGCAATTTACAAGGATTCTGACAGCAAAGGGCAAATAACGTTATCGGGCAAAAATAGTCCATGTGACCAAGCATGATTTGGCGTTGAATACAAGGTTTTAAAAATATTTTAGATCAAATTCTCATAGAAATTACTTACTGTTTTAGAAAAATCAGGTCTTCTTGGTGTATATTCAGAAATTCAATTTTTTCTCTCCAAAGAAATATTTCATTTTTATTTTTTTTTCCATGAAAATGATGCAATTAATTTATTTTCATCGATATACACTTGCAGTAATACTTCAAAAAGGTTTTTGAAAACTTTCAAGACTGTAAATGGCCGAAAAGTCAGATTTTGCTCCCAAGACACCAAAAAGTAGTTACAAACAATTAGATGAATTAGCACAGAAAAATCAGACAGCGGTAAGTGTAAATCCATATATCTATAAATAGCCATTGTTTAAAAAATTTTACCCACGACAAACGTTTATGAACCGAGGCAACTCTATATGTCCTTGTAGTATTGAAATATGTGCCACACATCTAGTTAGCTGGATTTCTCACTACAACATGATCCTCTGTCAATCTGAATTATTGTAAAGATAACAAAAAGTGATCATTCCTTAAATTTTAGTCCATTTAAAACGGAATTACGTTCCATGTATTATTTTCTTTTTAATCCTTGTCTACAAATATCTTTAAACGTTATGGAAAAAAACTTCCACCTACATTATATTTGTACATGTACATACCAATCCCAAAATTTTGCTGATCTGGGAAAGGGCATGCAAACATTATTTCAAAGATGGCCTTGCAATGTTAAATGAGGAAAACATTTTTTTCTTGTTTTTGAGATTTTCTTGTTTTTATTTTCAGATTTTTAGTCAATTTGAACAACACCCAGAGGGATTTCTTGCTTCTTTAACACTGGGAGAGGAGGTGTTCACTGGAATTGGAAGCAATAAAACGGCAGCAAAAGATAAAGCAGCGGAGGCTGCATTAGAAATATGGAGTACGAAAATAACTCCAGAGAAAAAGATAGAAAAGACACCTGTTACGATACTAAATGAATTTTGTCAGCATAATAGGAAGGTATGTTAAATGCATGAACTACCCTTTTGCTGGGAAGGTTACGTTACAAGTGATCGAGAAAAAATTCAAATACCAAGTTTCAAAATTTTAAATACAGTCACTGAGATAAATGTGTATAATAATGTTCAGAAATATCTGTTGCTAAATACAAAATAATATCTTTCGAGATTTTCCATTCCGCATGTCGCTTCTTACAGAGATTGAGTCTGTAATTATAGAACGGTTTTCTTAATTGTAAACTACCAACAGATTGCAAGTTAAACAAAACGGCTGAAATTAAGTTTTTCTTTCGGATTTTTTTTTCTTCTCACAATAGTAAATGTTACTTTAATTAAATATCAATGATCATCATTAACTTATTGATGTGCTTTAATGAATATCTTTAATGTATCAAGATTTTTAATGATGAAACTTAAAGATATATAAGCCGCATTAGTGTTTTATTGTAAAAGAAATATATATATTTGGTGTCTCATCAAGTTATATAAGTTATATACTTTCTGCAAATAAGACAATTCCACTCCATCACTTTTAAAAGTAATGAAATATTATTTGGTAAAAATTATTTTCTCTCCGAGTCGGATAATAAAACGCCTCTTACTGAAATATTCATGATCACGTGGTCGCATGCTCACAGCAAACAATGTTCCAATCTCGTGAATGAACCGAAAAGCATGATGGTCTTCTACGTTTTCACTACAAACACGTGAGTTAGGGATTATCAATACGTGAGCACACCTCAGAGTTGGTTGCTTTTTGTATCGTGGAAGAATCACTTGCAATTGTCTTTTCAATAGCAGTACAGCACGGGGAAACTCTAAACAAACGGACCTGTACAATGGAGTGGGGAAACCTTTAATTTTTATCATTGTTAATCATTTGTATGTAAATATGAGCTTGGGATTAGTAAATACATGTTATAATGTACATAATGCATTAAGCGTGTAAATGTTTGGGAAATGCATCAAGTCTTTCCGAGAGCGATTTAAAAAACTAGCCCTTTCGAAAAGCACATGTAGTATTTCATGAATTTCATCCATAAATGCATTAAATGCAATTCATTGAGCTGATTGGTCGATTTGTCAGTCATATTGGTTCCTCACTGAACAGACGTCACAAAAATATTTTCCTCGACCTGATGATTCTCGTGATGCTTTTCCCGCGCACATGTGCAGATCCAGGATAAAGGTCAGTCCTTTATAAATATGCATGGGAATATCATGTTCTTTTCCCGACTAGTACTTTGTTAATACCGAATAATATTTCGTCGAATTTGCAAAAATGCTTCATTTTTGATAGCTTATCATACTTAAAAATTTTTTGTTCGGTTTCAGCTGTGCAAAAATACTGTTTACCACGGCATACATATCTTTAAAACTAGCCTTATTGTAGATAAAACACAAATATGAGGAGCTTGACAAGGATGCTGATGAATTCGTCTCCAGAGTTTTGATAATGCTTGAAAATGAAGAAGGAGAAGTGGAAAAAGAGGAGGAACACAAAGGAAGAGGCAGATCTAAGAAAGATGCTAAACAAAACTCTGCCTCTACAGCTTTACAGAGAAGTTATATACTACATTCCTTCACAGGAGTTGTGCCAAATGTCAACAATGAATCTTGTTAGTTGATAAGTAAAATATGTTATGAGAGATTTTTCTGCTATACATGTTTTATCCTTTTTATATTTCCTTTTCCATTCATTATGATACTATATATTATAGACATGTTTCTTTAAAAAAATATATAACACATGCATATATCATATTTATAATACAATAATATATCATAGTTCCGTTGACCTCTTTTCAATTTTTGTTACCTTACTCGTGATTTTTTACGAGAAAAATCTTATCCTTGATTGGTCTTTTTTAAAAAAGCAAATTTAACTTAAATTTGAACTTGAATTTAAAGGTATTTCGACAGTCGGACGATTGTATGAGTGTAAACCTGGACAGACTGGTTATGTCCTAATTGTGTATTTCAGCAGAGACAGAGACTGTAAGTGAAAGTTATAGTAATCTTTTTAAGGAATAACATTCTAATTTTTTGGTTTCATGATGATTGTGATCAATCGATTGGCTTGGGGTGATAATTTGCATTAACGCTGAAGGCGTTTTTTCAACAAAATTATCAAGCAAGCCAATCGATTGATCATCGTCCTGAAACCAAAAATCTTAGAGAGTTATTTCTTATATTTACATTCCCTTTTTTTCCGCAAAAATTCCGTGCACTTCTGTCTCTATTTGTCCTTCCCAACACGTGATTTTTAAAGCAACGCCTATTGACGAACCAATACATTTATTTGGAAATTTTATCTCGGACAAAGGCATTGAAACGTAAACATATAAAAATATATAGAGAGTATGAACTTTCATTGTCAAAACAAGTAGTGGTGCTTTTTCAATCTGTACAAGTGTATGTCAATAATCTTATTTTCTCACTTCGAAAAAAATTTCGCCACTTAATTAATGTTGAATTTTGAGGCATGGACCATTATTATCTAAGCTAGGCAGCATAAAGAAAAGTACATAATTATGTATATGATACTTTCATAATTGAAAAAATATTCTTATTCAAATGTACATCACAAAAAATATTTTACCATTTTAACCAGGGGCTGATATAGACGTAAGAAACATTAAACGTTTCATGAAAGACACGTTACGATTTCAATTTGACGTGTTGAAAGATCCAACAAAAGAAGAGTTGATGAGTGTACTGGAAGCCACTTACAGACATCTAAACGAGCACTCAAAAGCCTATTATTGTTTTATTTTTTTCCTCATGGGCCACGGAAGTCAGGTAAGGGAATCTTTCTTACAAAACTTCCAAAATAAACACTTTAAATAAATGTTAAATTTTAAAAATTATTTTATAATGCATATTCAAGTATTCAAGAAACCTTAAACTTTCAATTTATCTCAGCTATTTCGAATAAACTACATTTGCACACCTTTTCTAGGCAATATGTTCGTGCATGAAGCTTAAGATAAAGGAAGCAAATTGCAGAATATATGTGCTATATGTTTCATGCCTTATAGAATTGAAAAAAAAAATATTTGCAATATGGAATTATATTATTTCTTCGATAAGAAATTGTTTTCCCTTCCTTTATTATTCAAACATGGTTTTAAAATATTAAGATTGATTTAATTTAAATATGAAAGTAATTCACTGAGATATTTTTTACTTTTGAAAGAAAACCAGTGAGTTGCTTAAGTAAAATTTCTAATATTGTAGTTTGGTGTACGAACAGCAGACAAGGGAAAAAAGAAAATGACAATCAGCATTGAAGAAATTTTGGAGTACTTTAAAAATGACAAAGTACCGAATTTTACAGGTAAGATGACACAAATCCTTTATATAAAAATACAATTATGAAAATTTAACTGTGATGTTTGAAACAATTTTAAAATGGTTTTTCTTTAAGTTCTAGCACAAGATTACCAGGTATATGTCTAGCATTTATATTTGAAAGATATATCCAATTAAATTAAACTAATTCTTTCTTTATTTCAGGAAAGCCTAAAATGTTTTACCTGCAGTGTTGTCGAGGAGAGTCACATCAGGAGACGTTGGTACAGCCCGACACTGATGAAGAGGATAGTGATAGAATTAGGGTACCGACTGATGGGGACATCCTTATAGCACACGCAACAACTGAAGGTGAGTTCATTTTCATGACGTCAACATTAATTTGGCACTTCGGAAAATCGTACTGGATGCCAGTAAACACAAACTTTTTCATGTGAATGCAGTTATAATTTTCTAGCACACTTGAATTTTGAAAAAAAATTATCCTTGCTACAAAGAAATAAAATATTTTGGTTTACCTTGTATAAGCACCTAATGAATTTATTATTTTTTTTTATAAATAAAAGGCATGGGTTTGGACTATAGCAGCCATGAGAAAAAAATTGAAATCTTCCTGTATATTTGTTAGACTTCATTACAACAATTTTCTTTCAGGTTATAAAGCTTATCGATATAAAGACTTTGGATCTATTTTCATCTTTAATTGCATGAAGACCTTTGAAACAAACTATACATCCATGCATCTGGAAGATATGATGATAGATGTAAAGGCCATTATTGCTCTGGATCCAAGATGGCGCCGAAAAAAAGAACACGCTCAGATGCCGTGTACATGGAGCACATTAACAAAACGATTTTACTTCATACCTACTGATCGTTGAAATACAATGATATGTTAAATCATTGTATTGCTTAAGAATTTCAAATACTGGTTCTTGTCTTCGAACTTTTTTATTTATTCTGGAGATTTTTTAATATAAATACTAATGCATTTATTTATATTTATATTGAATGGAACTAATAAATTTGCAAAAGAATGTGGACTTGATCATTTTTTTTTGTAAGTAAGGAAAAATTATGTCATTTTAGTTTTATTGTATTGTTGTTACTATCCACGTTGTATGATGATACTAATTAAAATATAATGCAAACTCGATGAAGTGCCTAAGGAATTAAAGATATTTGAATATCCCCATGTTAATTTCTAGCTGATATATTGTTGTTGTATAGATGTTACAAACTTTTATTAATGTATACTATCATTGTATTTGCTTGTTTTATTTTTAAATTAAAATAAAATATGTCATTGATGAATACTGAATAGGTATCTAGATGCATTGGTTTGAAGGAAATCATACTAAAGTACAAACAAATCAAATGGCAAATATGTGACAAATGTTGTCTTGACTGATACTAGTGTAATATATTTTTTTTTCAATTTGATTTTAGACCTATTATGAATTTGATTTCTGTTTATCTTAAACCGTTAACAATAACCGTCACTCGATGAAAATTAATGACAGATGCTTTTATTGTACACATGTCATGATGGAATGTACCAGAGATTTGCTTTGGAATGGACTTGCTCATAAAGTTTAACCAGAACGCCGACCCTAACGCTGACACTAACGCAAACTTCGTCTATATGAGCTAGAAAGGTAAACCATCATTGCCTTTTCGCCACTCCTTGTTGACAATTATTAACGAAATTTAATCCCACACGAAATTTTATATTACTATATATTGAATAGGGTTACTCTCAGAACAACGAAATTAAATCCGCACGAAACTATTTTTGATGACAAATAAACGAAATTTTATCCCCACGGATAATGTGCTTCTACATTACATCTAATTTTTTTTATGATTAAATGAAAAGATTTGTAAAAATTAAATTTTTATTAATTATTTTTTTCCAGATAAATATTCCTGAATAAAGCAATGGGTTTGTACCCATAGTATTGACCAATGTTTAATTCGAAAATGAGTTTTTTTTTTCACTGATATAAAACAAGCATTCCCTTCTTATCCTCAACATTATAGCAGCACCAAGGATATACAGCGTAGGATTCCATAGTTAAAGGTGTATATTTTGAGCAACAGACAAGACTGTTCCAAACATTTGTATATATTTGTCCGAACACAGGTAACTGCTTTGTTCCTAATTTTCATTTCAAATTTCAGCACATACAGTTATACGCTAAGCTTTAGTGCTATGCAATTCCAAGTATATTCGCATTATGTGCAATGTATTTCATAACGCCTGAGTGCTATGTTATATTCTCAGTATACTTGCATTATGTGCAATGTTTACATTAAGCCTCAGTGCTATGTAATGTTATTCTCAGTATACTTGCATTATGTGCAATGTTCATATGAAGCACTAATGCTATGTTTTTTAGTACCTTAGCCTCAATTAGTCAGTGCTATGTTATTCTCGGTATACTTGCAAGTGCAAAGTTTACAAAAAGCCTAAGTGCTACGTAATTGCCATTCATATTATGTTGACATAAAGCCTAAGTGCTATACTGGCCACAATATTCTAGCATTGTGTGCAAGGTTAACATGAAGCCAATGTGCTATGTTATTCTGGTATAATTTGCTGGTTATAGGTGCATTGCTCACATGAACCTAAGCTAACTGCTATGGGTAATTTGCATTTATGTGCAATGTGGAAAATACATAAGGTAAGCCTTAGGGCTATGATATTCTCACTTTATTTGCATAACTTTCTTAGTTTATGCAATGCCTCTGTGCTATGTTATGCCCAGTATATTTGCAAGGTAGTTTAAGCCTGAGTGATATATATCGTACACTAGTACGATTATATATAAAGCTCAATGTCATGTAATTAATGGTTGAACTGACTAAGCGTTAAAAGCTACTTATGAGGTTAAGAATTCAACCAGTCAACATTAAATCTGATTTTTCTTATTGTACTTTATATTCAGCTTCTAACACATGGCGTCAACACCTAAAAGGAGAAGGAGGAGCAAAGGAGCATCGGCCCAGAACAGCGATGGTAATCAGATTCCGCCCACTGCAGGAATGCCGCAGAGGGACCAAGATGACATGATTAAATCATGCATGGCTGCCATTCTGCCAACCATTGAGGACACCTTTTAAATGATGTATGGCGGATTACCACAACAGGAGCAGTCAAACAACTGGACAAACATCTGCCACAGAAACGCAGCCTGAGCAGCCATCACAACCGAAACCCT